AAAAAAAAAAAACGACTTTATTCAACAATTCGTCTCCTCCACATCACCCTGGTGCCATTTTGGAGAATATCCGCTGGACGTAAACAACGTATGCTGTTCTGTGTCAGCTGCGTCACACGGATATGCTGTTTCCATTCAGAACAAATCACAACAACGTAGGAAACAGATCGCAGCTGGCACAGAACAGCATACGAACATTTACGTCCAGCGGATATTCTCCAAAATGGCACCAGGGTGATGCGGAGGAGACAAATTGTTGAATAAAGTCTTTTTTTTTTTTTTTTTTTCGCACAAAAAGTATGCTCGTAGCTTCGTATAATTGCGGTTGAACAGATCTCCTTGCTACATTTCTGGACTTGTGAACATTTCAGTTGCGTTGCTGTCTATGCAGGGTCAGACAGCTCTCAGATTCCATCAAAAATATCTTAATTTGTGTTCCGAAGACGACATGAGGGTGAGTAATGAAAGAATTTTAATTTTTGGGTGAACTATCTTTAAGTCAAGCCAGAAGAAAAGTATCATATTGTATCATATAAGTCATAAAAGTGGTCCAAACGACTTGTGCGCTATATTCCAAGTCGTACAGCAGTGGTTTATTTATTTTATAGCAACTTATTTAAAAGCATAACTTTTTTTTTGTGCTACGCAGAAGAAATGTATACAGATTTGAAAGAAAATGAGAGTAAGTAAAATTATTATTAGAGTTTAGGAATTAAAATAAAGAAATAAAAAGTAGTCAATGTGGGATAAAATATCCTAATGAAAAGAATACAACATTTTGTATGTATGTGTAACTGATTCTCAGTCACACAGCACAATAGCCAGAAATTTAAACTGCACAATGTTGCTCTCTTACTTTTTAATGTAGCTATTACTTTAACTACACAAGCAATGCAATTATTAATAATTATGACAAAAATACAAAGAAAAATGAAATAATCTTCATATATTCCAGTAAATGCATGCAAAACTATATCTTGTGTTTCACATTACATGTGCAGAGGCAATTTCTCAAAACGGTTCCGTTTTAGACAGTTTTAACATCCAACAAAAGTTAGTTAGCTGTGTATTTACACTACATTAGTTGCTTGACTATTGACTAAAATGGCTCAATGGCTAATTTTAAAGCAGAGGAATAAGAAATGATTTCACATTAACAACCACAACTATTCACAAGTACTCCACATGCATCCATATGTAGGCTACAACCTAGGTATCCTGCATTTTATATTTTAAAAATTGTGCTCAGCTGTTTTACCATCTAGGTTTTTACATTAAATCAACATGTTACCCCTAAAATAGGCTATGCCACTGAGTTAGAAAACTTGCAGTCCCTAATGTAATAAAAACGATCATCTGGGATGGTCGTGCTGCCCCAGAATTATTTAAAATGGCAGGGGTGCACCAGGTGATATTTGTCATTCCTCCAGTACAGCTATAAAATGAGTTAAGGGAATCCATTCTGTGATAAAGTCCATCTGATCTGTTTACACAGAACTGACTTTTCAATGCAGGAAGAGAGTTGAGAATGTTCACACACGTTGGCAGTGGTGAAAAGCCCTTTCCAACTGTTGCAAAGGAGTTTGTAGTCATGGAACCATCCAATTCATCTTCTGCTCCTGTAGCAAATAAATAATTATATATCAGAATCTGAAGATAAATAACCATTCTAAAAATCTAATCAATTAATGCAAATCTTACCAAGGATTAACCATTTCTTCAGGTGGTTGACTAAAGGGTAATTGCCTTGTCCACAGAAATATCCAGAAAAATCATCCAGGTCTAGAGCCCATACAAATGCACCTCCAAAGCCATGTTCCTGTAAGTATTTTATCTTAACAATGAAAAGCAGAGCTGTTATTTTTCATGTAACATAATCTGTCAATTTAAATGTAAGAGTAGTCTATGTAACAGAATGTACCTTAATTTCAAAGCTCCTCAGATTGTCAAAGCCCACCCAATCACCTCCTTTAATAGAAAAAGGAACTTTCTGGTCTTCTATCCACTGTACTACCCCGCCGTTTAGGAAAAGGCATATCTTGAAAAAATAAAATATTTCTTAACTTAATATAGACAAGCATTTGCAATTTCTGTCTAGAAAAGATAATTTCCTATGAGATTTACTTCAAAGTAAGACCACAGGCCCATCTCTTGTGTATAAGGTCCAGGAGAAGCCAAGTTATTGGCTGGGGCTCCAACTCCACTCTGAGAGGAGGTGAGGATGAAGGAACGTCCATACGTGGCAAAGCCCATCAACAACTTCTCGGGAGGAGCTCCCTTGAATCTCCAGTATTTTAGTGCAGAATCCTGTATGAAAGATGAAAATATGCCAACTACCCAGCAGCAAATTAAAGGTATTCACTGTCTTGAAGCCTGTGCTCATAATAAGAGTCAGTCTGCTTACGGTGTTTGAGTTGATATCCTCTTCGTCTTGGATGCCACTGTACAAAGGGCTGTGATGTCTTGCAATGCCATCGTTAAACGTATGAAAATCAAATGTCTTGACACTAATAAGGTCCAAGTACCTAAAAAATATGTTTTTACATTTTTTAACTTTTTTTGTGTGCAATTTTTGTAATTGTCATAAGATAACACGTCAGCTGAATGACATGTTGCTCTTACTTTGAGATCTCTGGAATATTGTAGCTCCTTTCTATAACTTCTTTCTGTGCTGAAACAGTTGCTGTTAGAATCAGTCTGGCATCTTTGTTTGACTGGCCTTCAGCTAGAAATGCCTCCAGAAGTTCCTTAAGTTTCACAAAATTCATTTAGTTTTTTAGGTAATTGTTTTAACTCATTTTAAGCATAAACCTCAATAAATGTTATGCTTAAACCAAGAAAAAAAACATTTGAAAAAATTGATTAGATTGTGGTCTAATGAAAGTATAGGACAACAACTTAAAACCTGTTTCGATTGGACAAATTGGGAAATTTTTGATGACAGTTCACTTGATGAAAGAACCACAGTGCTGAATGATTACATCAATTTTTGCGTCGAGTTGGTTAAAAGAGGTTCAAGTGTATTCAAAATCAAATAATAAACCATATGTGACTAAAAGTATTAAAGAAGTTATATATTTGAGGAAAGAAGCATTTAAGAATAAAGATATTAGGGTATTTAAACAAACAGAAAGAGAGTTAAAAATTAATTTGAAGGAAGCAAAGCAAGATTATAGGAAGCGCCTGGAGGAAGCAATTCAGACTAATAATACTAAGAAGGTATGGGACATTATGAAAACAATGACTGGATTTTCTCCCTCAAATAAATCCATTGTAACTGATAATGAATTTTGTTTTGAGAATGAATTATATATATATACAGTATATATATATATATATATTTACATTTTTTTCTTTTTACTAGATTCTAATCAACAGGTAAATATGCCAAATGCAATGAAATAATAGATGCTGTGGCTCCATTATCTGCAGAGAGAATTGTTATTGAGGTAGATGATGTCAGGAAAGTGTTTCAATCTATCAATAGGAAAAAAGCTGTTGGTCCTGATGGGTGTAGTGCAGGTTTTTTTCTAAAGAATTTTGCAAATGAATTAGCCCTAGTGTGGCAATCGGTATTACAGGCCACAATTGACACACATATTGTTCCTGTGTTATGGAGGACTGCATATATAAACCCATTATCCAAAGTTCCATGTCCGAGAGAATATAAGGATTTTAGACCAATAGCCCTTACTTCAGTAACATGGGAAATGCTAGGAAAGATTGTTACTTCAGCATTTAGTTCAGATGGTTAAAGACAAACTTGACCCTTGGCAGTTTGCCTATAAGAAAGGTTACAGTACTGAAGATGCTGTTGCTATTTTAGTACATATTATTTCTAAACATCTAGATAAACCTACTACTGCCGTAAGAACTTTGTTTCTAGATTTTTCCTCCGCGTTTAACACAATACAGGTTGATATTTTGGTGTCAAATCTTATACAGTTGGGCGTAAATTCCCATTTGATTTGCTGTTATATCTCATTTCTCACAAATAGAGTTCAGAGAGTTCAGAGAATAAAACATTGTCATCTGCTATTATAACAAATTTTGGAGTACCCCAGGGATGTGTCAGTTCTGCTATACTTTTTACTTTATACAGACGATTGTCGAGCTGACATGACAAATCAATATATTTTAAAGTATTCTGACGACACTGTTTTAATATCCGTGTTGAATGCTTCGGACAGTCCTGTGCTACATCAACAGAGTGTGACAAAATTGGTAGAATAGTGTGAGAATAACGATCTTGTTATTAATACGAGTAAAGCTGAAGAAATCATATTTGGGTCCAGATTTGATGGTTGTACATTACCTGTTGTTATTCATAATGAAAAAATCAGACAGGTTAAAATGTACAAGTATTTAGTTGTGATGGTTGACGATATGCTGTCTTGGAATGATCATATTGATACTCTCTGTAAAAGAGTAAAGCAAAGAATTTACTTTCTTCGTCGTCTTAGGTCTTTCGGAGTGAGAAGGAGATACTTTTGCTAGTCTTTATGTCTGTGATTATGAGTATCCTGCAATATAAGAGTCTATCGGTTAAGTTAAAAACAAAATTGTTTAATTACATAAAAATCTGTTTAAGGATTGTTGGTCAGCCTCTTGAGAAGCTATATATGATTTAGCCTATTATAACAACTTGTTAAGGCTAGCTAATAATAGCTGATTCTAATCACGTCCTGCATAATGAGTTTGTCTTATACCGTCAAATCGGAGGTACAGAGTCCCAAGTTTCAGCAGAGTGAGACTGAAGCATTCATTTGTGCATCAGGCTATCCTTGAGTTGAATAAGACACTTAATCAAAAATCAAGAGTATAAGAGGTGAAGGTGCTGTAAAGTGTAGGGTGTAGTTTTAAACGTATAGTATATGTAATGTAGGATGTCTTAGCCTTAAACGTATAGTATTTGTAATGTAGTATGTAATGTAATACTTATGTAAGTGTAAAGTATAACGTGTGATGTTTTTGTACTGTGTATATTAAATGTTTTTTTTGGTGTTGAATGTTGTAAACATGGATATTGTCAGCTGAGAAAAATGTCATACTTGTCTGACAATAAAGTATCAACATCATCATCATCATCATCATCATATGAAAACATATTTTTTATTTGAACCTTGCAAAGTAGAGTGAATTTCAGTTTTTCTTCTGAATGCGTCTCTGAAGTGCCTTTGTATTCCCAGTCCAAATCCAGCCCATCAAAGTTATACTTCCTCAGAAATTCTATAGAAGACTTGATGAAAGTCTGACGGTTTGTCCAGTTGGACAGCATAATGGAGAATCTAGTGTGAACAAGTAAATTCATGACTACTTACTTCACTATAACTTGCAATGTGGCTTCCAAATTGTTCAGATTAATCGCAAATTTGCAAAATCTCTCTCAATAAACCATGTTTTTGTAAAAAAAAAAAAAACCAAACAAAAAAACTGTATAAAATATATATAAATGGTACGTTACCAGTAGAGATCAACATTTATTCAGAAACAGAAAAAGAATGCTTACTGGTTCGAGTCCTGGTCTCTGACGGACAACAAGGTTATTAGGTGAGGATTTCTAAAAGAAACATTTTTTGCGAAGTCTGTGTCACACACCAGAACATCTGACAAATCAAACATATACAATACTAGAAACGTGTATCTCTGAGCTACAAGCATCCTTACCGGTTCTTAAGTGCATTGAAGGTCGAGTAAAGGGCCACATCATTCCACTCACTGCCTGCTATGTTACTGGCATAGTTTACAATGGCAAATGCATAGATCAAATGAGTACACAAGTTTGGGTCCACATTCTCAGGAAGGTACTTAGCAGTTCCTGCTCTGTACTGAGACCAGTTTGTGAAGTAACACACCAGTCTTGAACAGGTTACTGAGGAAAAAGACAATAAAGACACATACTAACATGTCAGCAGTAATTTGTTTGCGATGTAATTTAAATGAATAATTCTCAGTCTCTCAATACCTTTTAAATAACATTAGAATTTTCACTTTAATGCAGTGGATTGAAAATAACCTTACCGAACTGAAAGAGCAAGTTCAGGCCTGACAAAAATGGAAAAAGATCATTAATAGATGCTTTTACGTGAGATGAATATATTAACCTTCCTGTTGTGTTCAAAAACTGGGTAAAACTTCTGTTTTAGAGTCAAATTGACATATACTGGTTTCCATGCAATTTTCCAAAAATCAGCACTATGAAAAAAGACATCTATTATAGCTTGTTTTTATGTTCAGAAATCCGTATAGACACAACATAATGTCTTTGATGTTTTTGTCTTGACTACTTATAGTGACTATTTGCACACCGAGGTGCAAATAACCACAAGTATAAATAATATCTAACATTATTTCTATTTATCTCTTGCTATTTGTACTTCCTCTGCCTTTTTGTTATGTCTGGTTCTCAAAACCTTGTGAGAGTAAAATGGGTTTTTCACACTTTTTTTCAGTGCTGTTTTTTTTAGATCCAAAAAAATCTAACAAGCAAAAATGACCAGTACAAGTTACAAGTTTCAAGTTGTTCGACAAGTTACAATAAAGGGTTTCTCTTTGTTGGTTTTTGGCAAATTTATGGAAAACCGTTGGGGTTAATGGGGGGTTAACATGACCCCAACACAAGGGAACAATTTTTGTACAGCCTTTCTAAAACACATCTATGTCACAAATTTGCATGGACATTCATGACCCTAAATGAGAAATATTCACAAAATTTCAAAAAGAAATAAATAGTTTAATCAGTATTTCAAGTATTTTGAAAATCGAATGTGGTTCAAATTGACCCCAAGACAACAGTGGGGTTAAAGAAACATATTTGAATAAAAATAGACAAAATACCTGTTAAATGTGTTATTCCCCTGTTCATTTTGTTGCTGCTACATGCCCCTTTAGTTTTGTGTGGGGAAGTCCGCATAAAGTAAAATTAAGGGTGGGGAGAGAGACAGGGAGGGCTACACATGTATAACATGACAGTAAATGTCAGCTCAGATTTTTCTTGCCTATAGAAACATCTAAATTTCAGTCAGATTTGGCCAATCCAGATTTACCTGACTGTAGTAACAGACCAATCAAGATTTATTTATTTTGCAACTTATTGTTTTGAATGAAGATTTTTCTTTCTTTGACAAACACAATGAAGATTTAGTGTATCTCTCTTGGTGGAATCAGTGGTGTAGATGTCCATTCCCTTGAGGCTGTTCACAATAGAACGAAATGAAATGATATTCAAAACAATTGAGAATACAATGACAACTTTATTTTGAGACTGTGAAGAAAAATGCTCATGCACTTAAATCTTACAAATTTTATCATAAATAAAAGTGTGCTATTAAATGTTAAGCTCTCCACATTTAAGCACAAACATCATAAACAATATCTACACATGTTATCTTGTTCGAAAGCCTTGTTGTCTTATCTTAAAAACAAAACAAACAAAAAAACAGATCTGACGTGACCTATTTCAGTTTCACCTCAAGGTCTCTACCATTATTATTTTTACTGAAACTAGAAACTCTATAGTGTAACTAAACTGCAGTATCGTTGCTGAAGTCGCAAAGTTTGTCATCACAAACATGATATGTTTCAGTGACTTCAGGCATGTGGAAATTTAGCATGTGGACATACAAAGGTTCATCACATTATCTTCAACAGCCTTAGGATGAACCCACTTCTTCTGTATAGGATCATACAGGGATAGCCTACTATAGATATATATCAGTAACTTCAAGCTAATATTTATGATAACATGTACCCAGTGTTACACAAGAAAGTTACATTAGGTCATTGTTCAATCAGATAGGGGTACATTTGCTCTTTGCAGTGTACCTTATTTTCGGTGGAAGGTGTTTAATCCAGATAGAGACAAGGGTCCAGATAGGGACGAAGGTCATGCAGGTGTCAATCCAGTGATAAAAATAACAACAACACAGCAATTGGTAACAACATCACCTGAGCTTGCACTCCAACACATCATCTTTGACCTGTCTAAACACCTCCATCAATATAAGTGGGACATTGTAAAAGTATTAATAACTAATAAAAGTGTCTATTATATGTTTTTTTATTGTTTGATATTGATTTAGTTTAGTCTTAATGTCTTAATTTATTCATACCCCCCTCTATATTTTAATTTGTGCACTATCAGTCAAAGGTTTGGAATAATACGATTTTTAAATGTTGTTTAAAGATGTATATTATGCTCATGTATAATTTCCAGTATACCCATTACACAGAAATCCTACTAATATGCTGATTTGCATATTTTTCATGTTGAAAGCAGGTTTTGCTACTTAATATTTTTGTGGAAACCTTGATATACAGTACCATTCAAAAGTTTGGGGTATAAGTATAAAAAATAAAGAAAGAAAAGAAAAAGAAATTAATATTCTTATTCAGCAAGGAAGCATTAAATAGATGAAATGTTACAGTAAAGACATGCATAATGTTACAAAAGATACTTCAAATGCAGTTAAAAAAAAAAAAGATTCTACTCTTCAAAGAATCCTTTAAAAAAATCCACTAAGTTGTTAGACAGCAAAAACTTTTCCACGTTGATAATAAGAACCATAGTAATTGAGTACCAATAATAATTGAGTGCCAAATCAGCATATTAGAGTGATTTGTGAAGGATCATGTCACGTTGAAGACTGGAGTACTGGCTGATGAAAATTCAGCTTTGCCATCAGAGGAATAAATTATAATTTAAAATATATAACAATAAAAAACAGTTCTTTCAGATAGTATTAATATTTCACAATATTACTGTTTTACTGTATTTGTAATCAAATAAATGAAGCCTTGGTGAGCATGAAAGACATTCAAAAACATAAAATCCTAGGTATTCCAAACATTTGTCCAGTATAGAATTCTGAAGCTTCATTCATGGTAACATTTTAATAAATGTGAGCCAAAATCATCACAATTAAAAGAACCAAAGACTTAAACTACTTCAGTCTGTGTGCATTGAATTTATTTAATACACGAGTTTCACAATTTGAGTTGAATTACTGAAATAAATGAACTTTTCCACGACATTCTAACTTATTGAGATGCACCTGTACTGCCTTTTCAAACTGTGATTATTGAGCACATAGTCACATGTTTAGCAGATTAACAATAGTTCCTTACCTCCTGTCCCAGGGCTCATACATTTTAACTGCCCTGTTAAAAGAAATGTATGCATGCAGGTTTTTAAAATTTTTTTTATCTTTTTATTTAGCATTATATTATTTACATGTTGTATTATTTAATACGGAGGACTAGGAGTGACAATGAACGAGTAAGTTAAATTGCTCATTGAAAATTGCTCTTTGCCTTTTTATTAGTTTTGTCAGGTTTTTTTTTTTTTTTTGTAATTTTGGCAAATCTTTTTCATTACAAGCCAACGCACCGATGCCACATCTAGTTGAACATACATTATGTGTGACATTGCATTTGTATTGTTGTTACAAACCTTAGTACTCAAGGCGAGATAATAAGTTCAGTTCAATTGGAATATCAAATATTGTTTCCACTCTGTTTCAATTAAGAATACCATTTTTGGTATCCATCATACTTCAGCAGAAATAAAATACTTTCTTTGTGCTGCATTTAGCGCAACCAAAGCCGACCTGTAAGACTACTGAAACCAGATGTGACTACTTGAACCAGATGTGTTGCAGCTGACAGTTCAACATGAGAAGAAAGCAACACAAAAGAGAAGCATTCTGACTTCATGAGGTCAGAATGCTTCTCTTTTGTGTTGCTTTGTTCACAACTATATCCAGAAAACAAAAATAGGTAGTTAGTGCAGACAAACACCAATGGAGGTTATATTTAAATTTTATGACGAAAAGTGAAGGCCTATCAGTGGAAGTTCATGCATTAAATGAAGAATTCTATCCCATAAAATGCTGATGGTGAAAGTGATGGTGGCAGGAGGATAAGTATTTTTTAATCATCAAAGGATCCATCCTTATCATCCATATCATGTGTGCCACCAAACGTTTTATTAGCCATCCTTTGCAACTTGGAACCAGTAAATTAGGCTCATTAAATCTTTCCTAAGTCACAAGTTATTTGTCATCACACTGATAAAGTCACATTGATAGCTAATTGCCTGGAAACACTTAATGTGTTTTGTTATTGCACAGTAAGCATTATGTAGATGTGGTTGGTATGCCTATTAAACATGCATTCTTCATACTGTATTTAAATTCCTAGTTTGTTGGTTTCAAAAAAATGCTTTCAGATAAAGCACAAATGTTTTGTTTTCTCATGATTTTACCCACAAATTAACATTTCTATCATTATTTACTCACCCTCATGTCTTTCCATGTATTTTGAATAATCATACAGGTGTTTTTGCATCATTGAGAATGCATTATTCACTCCGTGAACCGGATGTAACGGTAAACAACTGAAAAGAATTAAAAGAACAGGCTTACAGGCTTTTTACCCCACAGACTATGTTTGAAAAAATAAATTATGTCATTCTGAAAATATAATTTTATTTTTATTAAATAACACGTACTCCCTATCTACAGGCCCTACTGTTCTCATATCATATAACTGTGAACAAAACAACAAGCTTTAAAACACTTTTTTCTTACTGCTGGTACATGACCAGTGTAAGCTTCATGGTGAAAACTTCTACATCACTCTCGTCAACGTAGTCCATAGTTACAATAAGAATTTATCTTGACTTTATCTTGTGGTTATTTTGGGGAAAACCGTAGGGGGGCATTTTACCCCATGGGGGCGTTTTCCCCCACTCTACCCTATAGTTAAAATCTATTAACATATTTACTGACAGATAACTCGAGACTTACTGATATAAAAATTATAATTCAACTTTATTTGGTGTAATACTTTTGCACAATGCACATTTCTTAATATTAAGTCTACAAAAAAGGTCGTAGCGCCAAACACTCGTCCAAACATCCAGTAGGCAAAAAACATAAGGTGCGTAGATCCAAAAAATACAAAGATGCAAAGATGAAAGAGAGCCGCACTCGTCCAAATACAGCTCAAAAGGCTTATTCCATTGATTGCTCAGAGGTCACAAAAATATGTGCAAAGAAGTGCAAAAGTTCAAGTGCAGAACGTTTTCGGGTATTAACCCTTCCTCAGTGCCCTGTGCTACCAAGCAACACCTGCGCTCATTAATAACGTGGAAATAAAATTCCTTTGTACTGTTCTGCACAATTTGTGTAAAGCTTAATTCATAGATAAGATGAAAAATTGAGCCTGATAAAATGTGAATGAATGCCAACATGTCTGTTATTTTAACATGGTTAGGGGTGACATATCATGAAAATCTGACTTTTCCAGGTTTTAAGTGCAATAATCAGGTCCCCGGTGCATCTACCAACCAAGGAAACGTGAAACAGATTAACCCAGTCACTTTGTTTTGGGAAGCCTTTTTCTGCAAGCGTCTGAGAAAACGAGCGCGTC